TTTATCCCTCATCCCTTCTGCGATGTAATTTCTCTGGTTCCTTCATGCAAATAATTAAATCAAAGTGCTGTGGGGATTATCTGAAGCGAATACCTTCTTGTGGTGTAGATGCGTGACCGAATAGTGAGAAGTGCCTGCCACATGAGGTGTGATGATTGCATCCGGAGTCAGCCAGAAAAGCTCCGGTTTTGGATTTGCACATACCTGACAGTAGAACTTGTAATCCATAAATGACAATGGTTAATACCGATCGTGACAGCTTTCTATCGATCGAACACGACAATCACTTTGTTTCACACGACTGGGCATGTTGTTATTGCAGACCTAATGACACACTGCAGCAGATGTCATTGAAAAACACACAGTGTAGACTTTTTGGAGGCCCTCGCAATTTTCACCCCAAAGTCTGCAGATACGATATGCCTCGTTCAGATTAGAATCATATATGACGTAATTTGTGCTATACTCACCTCAACTTCTATATGGCCAAGCTGGCCGAAGGGCAAATGATGGTGAATGGTCGAGATTTTCTCAATTCCGACCACATTGATGTTGAACTCAGAGCTGTAAAGAAATTCGAATCATTATGTAATGTTAAGAACTTGGAAAAAATATTCACCTTACCAGACAGGAAATATATTTTTCAGATGGGCGAGATAAAGCGACAGTTATTCACCTGATTGCCTTGTTTTTCTGCTCAGAAGTAGTCGCTTGACAGCGATAGGCTCCAGTCATAGTTAGTGAATTCGTTCGTAACAGACATCTCGATCTGACTCGATGTTCGGTTTCCCTCGAAAGAATTGTCGTTGAAGTTCATTGCCATTAATAATGCCATTGACGAATGAGAAAGTATTGGGATGAGATAGTAGATGTAAGCTGTGAATATGTGCATACTCCCTTTCAAAAAACGAGAAGAGCGTCGGGTGCAGACCATACACCACAAGTGACGGCCTCCACAAAATGTAAATGTTTTCTGCCAATGAAATGATTAGCCTGTTGCAGTTGTATTCTATCAGTTGTCACTAATTACAACTATCATTTACCAAAAATCAGCTATCACTATGAACCACTACTAACCAGATTTACTTGGAGGCCGTCGTCACTTGTGGTGTTGGTCTGCACCCGACGCTTTCTCGTTTTTTGAAGGGGAGGGTAATTGTCCTGTATTAGTTCCAGAGCATCTTACTTGAATTGCTTTGCTCCAGTGCATTTATTACAAGGCTATGTGCGGACACGATGACGCTCTGTGGCTGTGTAACACGTTGGAAACCGCGCATTTTTCACGTTTTTCGGCGTGTGGGACTTCGATGAAATTTTTAGGAATCTTTTCAAGCAAATTCGGAAGAAAAACTTATCGTAGAAGAAACCTTATCGAATGAAACGAAAGAGAAAACAGAAAGTCCTATATTTGTTTCAAAAATGTGGGTTAGTAAATCTTATGCAGTCGACGGACTGCAGCTCACA